ATTTTAATAATTACACAGAGCTTGCATGGGTGATGGGTCATACCGTTTTGGTACTAAAGTTTACACACCACTAGACAAGACACAGTTAGGCAAACCCAATCTCTCATTCATGCTTTGTCTGTTTAGAACCTTTTTTCTTTTATTTTATTTAGATGGTGAAACTTGTTGCTTTTTTATCACCATTGAGTTGTTGCTGGAGTTCAAACTCCATCATTTTTTTTTATCTATCACAATTAAATTAGATATAAAAAAATTTACAATAATTTGCACATTATATTATAATAACCAAAAATTAATAATCATTTGTGTTCTTAGATCGCATTTTTGTTATTTAAAAATTGTTACTTCAAATAGTATTAAACTTAATTTCTTTAGGTTAAGTTTTTCTATAAAAAAAAATTATACATGAAAAAATGTGATAAAAAATATCTCATTAAAAATAATCAATTAAATTTTTTAACAGAGATTAGTTACTGGTAGAATTAATAAATATTTTGTAATAATACTGATTACTTAAAATAAAAATACATTTTGTAACATTCTGACAAATCACTGCATTGATACAAGTACTACGTAACAGAAGATTAAATTATATACATCAGAATTAGAAAGTTCTCTTGAGGCCACACCTTAGAGCCTAACGTCGACTAAGGTAGAGACGAGTCTCTCTTCTCACGCCTAGTGTCACTAATCTTATGCCTAGTGTGAGTGAGACAGATACCTCTCCTTTAAAATCACGCTCGACGCCTTGAAAGTACGTTCGACACGATATCAAATTCTACACTTGTGCAAAATTGAATTTCACACAATACCTAAAAATTAAAAAGTTTCCACAACATGTAACACCTAAAACAACATCTATACAACACATACAACACAAACTCATCATAAAAAACAACATGCAACTGAAATTGATCAACAATCAATCATGCACCTCCATGAACACTCAAAACCCATGGAAAACCCCTTTCAACTTCATCCTCAACACAATCAACGGAAATAAATAACTCATTTCAATCATCACAATTACATAATGTACCATAAATTCGAAATCATTACTTCCCGTACTTTCTTAGAAAAGTCCGTAAGAAAAGGAGAAAAAAAAGAATAAGTCACTTCACACACTATCAACTCAAGATTTTTTACCCCGAAGCTCAAACTTCCTCGTCACCTCTTATAATCAACTGTGAAAATGGTAAAAAAAGAAAAGGTTCATAATGAAAAATGTAAAAAAGGAAGGAAAAAGAAAGACAAGAGCAAACCCCCTCCCCCTAGCTTTCTCTAAAGTTTGAGTCTTTCTTTCGGAAAAGAAACTTTTTCTTCTATACCTTTTTTGAACTATCTCTACTTATTTTTAGTCAAATTCTTCAAAGATCAACATGTTTTTTAAATTTTTTAATCTCAAAACTTTCAACAACAATTGCTAAATCAAATAATAAGACTATAAAATTACAGTGTTACACATTTCAAAAATTTTGACCTTCAACATTAATTTTATTTGGTTAATGGGAATAATACAATTATAAAACTCTATTGTCATTTGAATAGAACATATTTTTTTCTTGATTTTTCATTTTTCTAACCAAAGTTCTAGAAACTAAGGACAAGTATTTAGCAACCAAATGTTTTCAAACAAACGAAAGGGTCGTATTCATTTATTACTTCCCTCCAAAGCCCATTTTCACCCTATGGCTCTAACACTTTCTGCAGTATTTGCATTAGCTGTCACAAAAAGTTAATTAAATTTAATATTTGAAGATCTTGTACTGAGAGTGGGCCCCACTGGATCTTCAGCCGCATTTATAGTTAAACCTTATAATACCACCTGCGCGTGTTGTTAAGCATCATTATACCATTGTATGCTATACTCATGCATCAGTATGTCCCAAACATACCATGCATCATCCCATGTTATCATGCAATGCATGATGAAATGATTATATATCATTATTTATTTTTTCCCCCAAATTTGAATTGTTCCCCGTTTAGTAACCGTGCCTTTATTTTTTAGTAGTATTTTTTTATTATTGAAATTAAGTCATTTTAATCATAAATACAAAAATTACATTTAGATTATTTTTATTGAGTTATTTGAAATATTATTTTCGCTTTACCATTTTTTATTATTAATATGCTTAACACCTCATTAATTTTCACACTTAATTAACTATTTGCAGTAAAATTTATCTTCTTAATCACTTTATTCTTTTACATGATCTAAACTAAAATCTTTTCACCTATTTTTATGGGAGTAAATGTTTTTAAACCTTCAAATAAAGTAGTGTTTATGTTTAGAGTGTAAAATATAAATAGTCCTTTTTCATTTTTCATTATGAAAATGTATTATATGTACTCGTGTAGTATTTTCCTTTTACCAAAAATAATTTTCTTTTGATCCCATTATTTATAGAAATAAAGATTACATATGGCATACATTTCCATAAATAAAGGATAAAAGAGTTAAAAATAAATACTACTCCATTTGTAAAGAATAAAATTATATTTAACCTTCTCTTTTTTATCTATTTTCACGATGGAGTTGTTTAATTTTAAAATCATTCCTCTCAAGTAGACTTGTTCATGATTTGATTCAACAACAAAAAAATGAAGAACGATTCACCCAAATGTTGAAGCATGTAGATCTCATTGGCATCAATGTATCAAAAAGGAAGATTCAAAAATAAATAAGCAGGATTTTGCATGCAGTGTGTTGGTTGGTGAGCATGTAAGATATTGAAGGTCTCAAAATCCAAGGAAAGTGCATTGTTATGTCACTTAGGTGTTGGAAGGTATCAGCATCTATCTGAGGAGTGAGATTCCATTTCCAGATGCCAAAAAGAAACACACATCCTTGTCTTGCAGCTTTTTAAAGACTCATCACAACCCTTGGCTACCAATACCAATAGGAATTGGATACTTCTCTCATCATCTCTCACCTTTTCATGACTCTCCTAATGTAAACACTTTCCGAACCAAGGTATAATAATCGTTTTATTTTATAAGTATGTTGTTAATATGAAAATTTTACTAAGTTTATTGATAACTTATTTCTTAAAAGGAAAAATTGGATTAATCTATATGATGACATGGAAATGGGGGCAAGGTGCTGGTGTGTCTGAAGGCACTGCAGGTAGGATTAAATTTTTTGGATCGTTTTGGTTCTTCGGGTTCTGGAGTTAATAATTATTGTTGTTGTATTGTTGTTGGGATTTTGTGTTGGACCAGTGTGAACTTCGGCTTCATAACTTTTTTTTTTTCAGAACGACAATGACCTTAAGAATTCTTGAAAACATAACTTGTGTAGTACATTTTTCCACATTAGTCTCGTGTATAACGTAGGGGAAGATATTATGCAATACCTCCTGCTCCGGTTTTATATACTTTCTCCATCGCATATTTTAGTAAGAAAAGAATTGAATGATCATATAAAAAAAATTAAATTACTCATGATTTTTGGGTTTAGTTTCTTTGGTGTAAAATATTTATTAAGACAAGTGTTTCAGTTATGCTGCTTAATCAAAGATTAAAGTTCGATTTCTAGTTTAGACATAGAATCATGACAAAATTGTATCACTTTATATTTGATAGAGAAGTAAAATTGAATAATAAAAAATATCTGGTCCTATTTTTTTACACATAATAAACAGGCAAGAAAAGATTAAAAAAATATATTGTATAGGAAGAAAAAACTTATTGAGTTATTTTTGTCACAATTTTAAATAAATATTATATATAATTAGTTTATCAAGTGTGTTTATCATACTGTAGCAACTAATAATATTTGGTTTCATGTATGGTTTTTGTGCGATTATTTTATCGAGCATTGGGGTCACTATTTTTTGAATTATTTGTAATCCTTGTTTGATCTCTAACACTCCGAGAGAAGCAGCTAGTTGCCTTGCTATTTGATACAAATATCCTTATGTGCAAAAAGCACCCCAATATCACTCTTGAAGAATGAAAACAAGGTTTTAATCATCTTGCTTTAATCTATCAACTTTTATATGTAGAAATCATCATTTTATAAATACAAAGTATTGACTCACTATAATGGCATGAGTGATTGTTAATATCTTGAATTGATTTGAGAACACAAATCACTCAAGTTTAAAAATTTGAAAGCATAAATCATGAAAAAAAAAATTATTTAAAAGCAAAATTTGTCCAAAAGTAAAAGTTTGAAAATAGAGAATACAATTAAGTCTCTGTCAGACAATTCATAAAAGGACAAAAAACGATCAAATTTAAAATTTTTGAGACAAAATATGTGAGAAAAAAATTACTTGAAGACAAAATTCAGTAAAAAAAATGAAACTTTAGGAGCATAAAGAGCAATTAAGTAAAAAAAAAAAATTATACTATCAACCATTATATATCATGTTGATATGATTTTTAAAATAACTATTCTCATAAAAATTAATATTATAATTTATATATATATATAATTATCTATAATAAGATGGTAGTTAAACTAATTTTACACTTAAAAATGCATAACCTATTTTTTCTTACTGTATTAATATGATGTAATACATATATAGCACGTGATAAATCAATTTGGATCATTTTTAAATATTTAATTAATATTTTAAATACTTGAAAAGAAATGACATACTACAAACATAAGAAATAGTTATTATTTTATTTAATATATCAAGGCAAATAATAATAATAACAACAACTTACTCTTCTAAACTGTTCAGCAATTTATTTAATCTTTTTTTATTTTTTTATTATCGAAATTACATTTACAAGAACAGAATTTGAACTTAAAGATTAAATGCATGTCATTTAAATCTCCATAATTTTCTAATTTTAGAGATCCAATACGAATTAGATTATAACGTAAGGAAAGAAAGCGAGAAAGAGAATGGGTCCGATTCAGGTCCAGATCCAGAAGCATAACAGATTGGACCTGAAGGCCCAATTTGGTGACACAGAAATTATCCCCGTTAAAACGATGCGTTTTGCGTTGGTAAAGTCGTAAAGAAAGACATATAAGGAGTTAGAGCGAGCAAGAGTTTCGTTGGGAGAGAAGAGAATGTCATCAGAGAGCGAATCAGAGTGTCGAAAGTTGGGTTCGGAGGAGATTTCGCGCGAGTTCAAAACCCTAGTCAGTTCCAACGATCTCCACTCCCTTAACCACATGCAACACACTATGTGCGTGTTCGCAATCCGATTTCGCTTTAATGCAATAATTGAATTGAATTCATGTGTGTGTGTGTGTGATAATCGATTGATTGATTGAAATGTGTTTCAGATTAGGAAGGTTGCAGGACAGCAATGCGGTGTTGTCGCATTTCAATGACTTCTCTCAGCATTGCTTTGCTGAGATTTCCGGTGACATCGCTAGAAACACGCGTGTGTTGAAATCCGTCAAGTCTGACCTCGATTACATCTTTCAGAAACTCAGGTATCCTTTCTGTGTTCATCGCGGTGTTTTCCTTTACTGCTTCATTCATCATTGTATTCGCATCTCATGCTTATTGCTTGATTATTTAAGGGCGAGCGGAATCAAATGAAATTGAGTGAGATTGAATGAAATGGAATAGAGTTAGAGTTTAATCAATCATTATCATACTTGGCAAGTTATGAGTGGATGATGGTTTTATTGTATTTAAAATAAATTTATTGAAGTTACTATTTTTTATTTGGATGTTTTTAAGATGAAATGAAAAGAAAAATAAACACTTACATACAAGTGGTTTGACATTCTATTTCTTCTTAATTAAGGACTGAAGTTCGATTTCTATGCTGGACATGTAGTGGCCACCGAAAGTTTTTATGATAAAATAGAAAAAGTGGTTCCAACCTATGTCATCAAATTAGAGGGAAAGAAAAAAGTGATATTGGATGAATGGAATGGAATGCATTCCATCCAGATTTTTTATTATTTTATTTGTTGTAAACTGTGCAAGTAACACTGCCCTTTAGATCGTTAGTGATTTGAATATCCATGTCCTTTTGGAATTAGACATTGGCTTCCTAATTAATCTCCATGTTAGTAGCTTTGTGAAGCATGGTCTGCAACTTTTCTGTTACCTTGTAAGGCTGTATACATAGCCATATTAGTTTATCAATTTAGGACAAGAATTTATTATTTTACTATTTTGAGTACCTAGCAATTGGTCTGATTCAATAGGCTTGGAGAGAATATGGCAACTATTAGTGGATGTGTGCAACCAGTGATTACAAAGTTTGATGGACATTACAATCACTAGAGTATGCTCATTGGGAGTTTTCTGCAATTAAAAGAGTATTGGAGTCTAGTTGAAGATGGGATACCTGCAGAAACCGAAGGAATTCAACTTAGAAAAGCATTAAAGAAAGTCATTGATGATGCAAGGCTGTAACATATGAAAGCAAAGATATAGCTAAACACAAGGGATTTCTTGTAGTAAAAAGTATCAAAGGAAAAAGGACAATGCAGGTATAGCAAGCACAACAACAATTACTTCAGAAGGAGTTTTAGATGACTTCAGAAGGAGTTTTAGATGCTAAGGATGAAGGTGGGAGTGTTTGCCAATGACTATTTTGCACACAAGCTTGCTATCATCTACAAGCTAGGAGTCAATTAGGCAAAGATAGATGTTGTACTCATCGAGAAAATATTGAGATCTATGACACCTAGGTTCAATTGTGGTGTGTCCTATTGAGGAATCAAAGGATTTGGACACACTTACAATTGATGAATTATTAAGTAGTCTTTTGGTACATGATCAATGAATGAAACCTTATGGAGTAATGGAGTGTTCGTATGTTGGTGAATGGTACTAGGCATATCCTTCTTGGAATAAAAAGCAACTTGTTAAACATTGGTCAACTAGCCAAGAAGTGGCTTGAGATTCTCATACAATGAGGAGCATGCAAAATATATCATCTTGAAAAGGAGTTATTTTGGAGAATTGCAATGTCCTCAAATCAAGTTTCAGGTGTCTAAAATATAGCACACAATTAAAGGAAGAAACTTGTTTCATCAACATTCTTATGAATGATCCAACCTGACTTTGGCGCTATAGATATGGTCTTTTGAGCTTTAACCAATGTTTTAAAAATCGGACTAACCAATAAAACGGTCAAGGTATTGGTCAGGAGATCAAATGTCGAACTGGTGAGTTACTATTTAAACTGCATGACCCTATTTATATTAGTTTTTTTTAAAAAATATACGTAGGATATATATTCCATACATATAAATTTTAATAAAATTGATACCATAGGTGTTTCTAAATAGGCAAAAAATGATTGAAGATTTTTATTTTAACAATATACGCATTAAATATATGAAATTTATATTTAAGATGATATATAGAAAAGATTTCTGAAGATTTTTATTTTCATGGTATACACATTAATATATGAAATTTAGATGATTTATAAAAATAATATGCACACGTATATAACAAGTAAAAACATTAGCCTAGTCCGATCTGAAATCATTACCGAACTGGCTTCTAGTCTAGTTCTCGATTGAATTGGTCGGTCCAGTCCAAGTTTTAAAATTATGACTTTAATAGTATGAGCACACATAAAAAAGGAATGATACAAGGATTGCAAGACACTATATCAAAACTATGTACACTTTGTCTTGTGAGAAAGCAACTAAAAATTCCATTTACACATGGAAAGCTTATCAAATTCGCAAATTTTTACATATTGACATATGTGGACCAATCAGTCCTATATCCAATGGCAAAGAATGTAAATGATCAACTTTGTTGATGACATTAGTTGAAAAGTATAGGTCTATTATTTGGTTGAGAAATATGGGTCTAGATTTGTGGGTCACACAAGAACAAAGAATACAAAATGATTTTGTATGGGGAGAATTAAATATAGCACCAATTGAGGAAAAGATGACAGAAAACCAGTTAAAAGGTGGTTTGGGCAAGTGTAGAGAAATTTGAGGGAGGCACCAGTGACATAGTAGATTATATGGATGTCATTCCTTTGAAAAGGAAGGAAACCAAGACGATCATCGGAGAAAGTTGTCGAGAGGGATTTCATGGTAGATGATATTAATATGTTTGAAACTTTGGTCTTTAACCGAGTTGAACAACTTCGCCCAATCCATTTAGCTTACTTCACCTAGTGGGATAAAACTTTCTTGTTGTTATTGAATATTGATCGAGAAATTAGAAGCTTTTATTACTTTCAAAAATTTAGGAATCAAGTTCAAAAAGATGGTATGATTGTTCGTCCTAAGCCCAAGCCCAAGCAAAGGAAAAGGGTTTTGCTTTCCCTCGACAACCAAAGTACAACTCGTTTATATGCCAAACATGGAATTGATTTGGCCATAAAGAGTTTCTTGGAGATTTCACATCAACTAGTGGTATGACCATAAAAATGTATGTAAGTGTGGAACAATTCTTAGCTTATACGTCGGTTTTGTAAGATTGAGTTAAGTTCAATTCTACTTTTTTAAGATGATATTTATCCTAACAATTATCTATTGTTGTTGAGTTATCAATTCACCCATTATCGAGCCGTTATTGAACTACCCACATATGTCCAGTTCTACAAATTTCATGCTTGAAATGTCTAACCTTCAACATGAAGGGGTGTGTTGTAGATTTCACACAGACTATAATAAGGCCAACTAATTATTAGAGGGAAGTAATCTTCATCTTATAAACTAATGCTATAAGATTGAGGTAGGCTTCAATCTACTTTTTGAAGATAATAGAGTCTATCCTAATGATTATTGATTATTGTTGATGTCATCATACCACTTGTTATCGGACCACCTGCTGATATCTGGTCATGCAAACTTCACATTCAAAATTTACAATCCTCGACATGAGGAAGTGTGTTGAAGATCCACTTTGACTAGTAGTATGACCATAAAAATATATATAAGTGAAGAGCAATTTTCACCATAAGTCAATTTTATAAGGTTGAGTTAAACTCCTAATCTACTTTCTTAAACGGGTCTTTATACAAAATCCCGAAGGATGGAAAATCTTTTGCACCTCTTGCACTTCAAAAAGGATGGAAAATCTTTCAATTAGATGTCAAATCTGCTTTCCTCTCGGAGAACTTGGTGAAGAAGTCTTCATAAAGGTGTTGGGTAGGAAATTTACAAGTTGAAGGTTTTATACAGACTAAAACAGGCACCACATGCCTTGTATAGTCCATAGATTATTAAACTTTTACTTTGCCCAAGGATGATTTAAGGCAGTGAGAGATATATGTTTGTAGAATTCAAAATTCCCATGATACATCATTTTGATATGACAGATCTTGCACAACTGAAATAGTTTCTTGGCATATAAGTTCTGCAAAGCAAAGAACGTATTTTTGTTTGTCAAAAGAAATATACCCAAAAGTGTTCACAATCCAACTGTTCCTGGATGCAAACTCATGAGGGATGTGAATGGGGTTAAGGCAGATTGGTAGTACAAACAACTAATAGCCGGCTCGATCTATCTTCGAGTATCCCAATCAGATTGTCAGGATTTCCTTAGATACACCATGTTTATGTTACGGATTTCAAATTTTAGGATTGCAACATCTATTATGGTGATGAGCTGTATTATGTGATATGAACATGTAGATGATAAAGTGAGATAAGAAAAAGGATTGTAAGAGTATGTAGTTAATGTACCGAAAGAACCTTCTATATGTTCTTCTTTTTTTTCAGTGGTTATTTTTAAATTTATTTATGAAATAAAACGTTAAAGCTTGGTTCTCCCTTTCTCGCAGAAGTATGAAGTCAAGAATTATGGCAACTTATCCTGACGCGTTTCCTGGAGACTCGATGAGCGAAGAAATCGATAGGAGACCAGATCTTGAAATGCCAAAGTAATTAATGATGTTATCAGAACATGCAAATTAGAACAAATTATATTTTGTTTCTTTTTTTCTTGGCAATGAACATTAACTATTTGTTCCCAATGGTTTCACTTCACGCCCTTACCAAATTTTCTTTTTTGTTCGTATACTTTCCCATTGAAAACAGTAAATTCATCACCCCCGATTATCAAATTTCAGGTAGAACTCGGGACTTTATGGAGTATGGAAATTCTGGTGGCTATAGTTCAACTCGAGTGACTCTAAAAAGACAGAAAAAACAATAAGAAGCCCTCAACAGACATATCATAGGGTAGATTTTTTATCGACTTGCTAATTAGCTTTGTTTATTTCTATAATCTAAAAGGACGTTATCCGTCCATGAATGTACACTATTCTTCAGGGTAATATTTAGGGTTTAGGGACTGCATTGCTTAAACATCTCAATAGCTTGCACGATTCCATTAAAAAAATTATGAATCACAACAAAGGCTAACACGATGAGAATACTATCAAAATCTGACGTATAGTAGTTTAAGAAAGTATTTTTATGATTTTTGATGAAGTCTTTAGAAATTCAACAAGTACTTTTTTAAATCATAAAATAAAAAAGGTTAAACCAAACAATCTCTAAATCATGACACTAGCTAAATTAACGATGAAGTCTAATAATAATATAGTAGGAAGACTACTTGAACTAAACAATATGGTGACCTTCATAGCCAGAAAACACCCTATTACATAACAGATTGTCCACAAATATAACTCTTTCTCCAGTATGCCCAAGTCAATCATCAGATAGAAAAATAAACATACTAAATTAAGACGAAAAACACGAAAACTAAAAAACCAACTATATTTCAGTATTTCCCACCTTGCTTCTACCCCTGTTGAAAGTAACAAAGTAAGCTGCTCGGCAACAAAGTAGATCTAAATTTACAAGACAGGAAACAACCAACCAAGTAAAAGAAAAAAGAGAAAAGGCAAAGAAAGGATAAAAGCCCGAACAAAAAACCAAAAGATATAAGCATCTTAGGCAGAAACCCTAAAACCCAAAAACCCTAGGAGTAAAGCCTGTTAGGAGCTAACCACTGTAAACAAAACCCAACGAGAAGGGATTGGTGCTAGCATTCTATGAACTAACTCCGCCCAGCCAATCTCAATATACAGATCTTTATCTTCACTAGGCAACCAATCACTATCTTCAGACTGCAAGAGAAGGCAAGACAGATCAAATCAGGCGGAACCGAGTTGCTAAATAATATATTTCCTATATGCCACTGAAAAGGATTGGACCGCCACCCTTGAACACACTACAGCTTAGCAACCATTAGCAACCCCATTGGCTACAATCTTACTCTCCGAAACAACTGGTTTAGCACCCTTTGGGGCATCTCCAGTTTTCGTGACAGATCCATTCTCGCCAACTTTGTGCTCATCAATATCCTTCTCAGCATGGGTAGACTCCTTTGGCAATTCCGAGCTTACTTCAGATTTCTGAGTATTAGCTTCCCCATTTATCTCAAGCTTCTCATCAGTAGGTTTCCCTTCCCATACCTGCATCAGTAGAATTAAGACAAGAAAAAATACGTTATGAGCAAACACGATCAAATATTTTCATATCACTAGAATAACTAAAATGTTACTTGCCTGCTTCGGGTATTGTTGCTTTGCTTTCTTCTCCAAAATAGTCTTCTGGCGGGCCTCATAGAAACCAAAATCATCCAAAATGCATGTCTTACTAGTATATTCCTTGAAGATTTTAACCAATTTCAGCCCTGGCTCCAACATTACCTGCAAACATAAACTTCAATATCAGATGAAAAGACATGACGACATTACCAGGAAATGACAACTAAAAGAGCAAAAGATAATTACCTCTTGTGTATCCCTACTGTTTGTGACAGGTTTGTTCTCATTATTGTCCAAGGTAATGTGCCTCAACAAATTGTTAGGGACATCCTTAACAATGTGCCACTTAAGAGGAAAACAACCATTCCACTTGTCTTGCTGCCAATACTCAACACTCTTGTTAAAATCAACAGGACCAATCATCTCAGCAAGCCCCACAAATTGTCCACTTGTATTAACCTGCATAAGCACACATACAAAATAAGATAAAAATTACCAAATAAACAAATATAAATTGATCAACACCATTCACAGAGATACTTACCGAGAAGAAAAGGAATACAGGGCAGCCACCAGGTTTCTGCTGTGCTTCCTGGTACGCAGCTTCAAGCTTCTTGTTTCCGTTTTGTGTACTGGCCCACACATTATACTTTATGCTTTTGTGAATATCATCCTCGCTGTACGACTTAATGACAAAAAATTTAGCATCGGTATATTCCTCCGGGAAATCAGCTTTGTTATATTGATCACGGTCTGGAACGGTACTGGTCTTGTCTTTTTCCTCATCTGTGCCAAGGTTTGCTGGCAAATTCTGCCCTTTGACAGCCAAAATAGTTGGTGCAAACCCTTTCTGATTCTTACCTCCCTTGGCCCTAGGTCCTCGGTTCAGTTCATTCAAACCATCTACATTCTCATTGCCATAGCCAAAGTAGCCACCACTTCTTCCCCTGGTTTTGTATTTACTGTCAACAGCTAACCAGGCCCGACCATTTGTGCGAGAATCATACCCATGTGTTCCATAACCCATTCCAGATCTGACAGTGTTCCCATACTGACCATATAATTTGTTTGGATACATTCTATTTATGAAGCTATGGGTGGCTCCCATGGCAGGCATTGGTCTTGGATGATGCAAGCCCTGGCACAAAAAAAGAACATGAATTTCAACTTATGCATAAATAATCACACCAGTTTAAATAGACACAAGACAGTTAGCCACAATATGTTCTATCACAACTGATGGACAAATCATCAGACTAGCATCAATTATCAATTACAACAATTTGAACGTAATAACAGACCCTTCAAAATATAATGCATACCATAAATTGAGAATTAGGACGGAAAGTCTGGTTCCTTGAGGCAGTGTTGTTGCCACCTGATATTGAAGAAGTGATACTTGTGCTACTCACAGGCCTTGGCTGCCCGTCTGAAAATAGTGGGGCATCTAGCCATGGGATAGGTGAGCGTACTCCATCAAAACCAAATCTTGGATCCTGATAACCTGAAGTTGGACCACGACCTGGCATAGCAACCCTTTCATTTGATGCTTTGGAACTAAAAGATGAATTCTGATTGGCCTGTTTAATAGGAGCAGCAGCATTATTACCTTTCGCATTGCCACCATTTGCAACACCATTGGAATTTCCATTGGCTGCTTCAACAGGGAGAGGCTTTTGATCAGCAGCTACAGAGGTGGAAACCTCACCCTGAGGAAGGACAGCAGGAGTAGGTGTGAATGGCGCACTGGTTGGTGTCAAGGGTTGAAAATAGGGAGGATACTGGTAGTGTTGTGGCCCATACAATTGGCCATCATTTCCCATAGTAGGAACTGGAGACCCTGCTGGCGAATAGGGGCCATAGGGAGCATACCCATATCCATGGTGATAAACTAGAGACCCATTATCCCCATAAACTCCCTGCAAAAAGTTAAAATATAATGTAAATAAAAAAATAAAAAAGCAGCAGAGCAAAATTGACCTGCAAAATTATTTTGAAAATTGGAAGGATAAAATACTTACTGAAGTCATCTCAACTCCTTCCGGATTCACATATCTATAAGAGTCATCCCAATCGTTACCAGTCCCATCATAACCTGCAAAAAACAAACCAGTTCAGCTTGCTTATGATTTATGTATTGAATTTACAACGTTTTCCAACAGACACTCGAAGTAATTTTTCAATATGTATCCATAAACTTACCACCATAATAATACGCAGTAGACGGGTAACCATTTGGGAGGTAACACATGGTAGGATCAATAAAATCCTGCAATACTGGAGTCACAGACCGATCATATGACGGGATCTGGCCATTTGCAGCATTTCCTGAATCAACCGATCCATACTGATTCCCAGTTGCCTACACAGAATCGAACAAATCAACTCAATACCACACAATTCACTAAAAGAACACAGAACCAAGTACAAACACATCTAACAAGCTTTACTACTGTCACAGGTAAGTCCTATCATGAATTTCTAATAAAATCCAGAAAAAAAAACCATCTTTTTACCTTCTTCGTAGGTTCGGGAATCTCCAAAGCCTTAGGCTGAGTTTCTAACGATAGCTTCTGCAACAAATCAGTTGCTTCTGTAGCAAATCAATTAAGGAACACAGAAAAAAAATCCCACAAAATTAAAGTTTTAAAGAACCACAAACCCTAAAACCCGCAACACACAAATAAAAGGAAAATCAAAATACCAAAAAACCCAAACACCCCACAACCTCGAACGAGTAATTCACGACGTATTTCGACACAGAAAGTCAACACCAACAAAAACTCAAAACACATCAACATACAAGCAAACCCCAACACCAACACAGCACAAAACACCAAACCCTAAAAGATCAACCTTCCCCGAACCCAAAAATCAAGCTCCGAAAACAAAAACCCACCGGATCCAATCCACGATTCAACACAACAGATCAAGGAAAAACAAAACACGAAACATAAAACAAGGATACGATCCGCGGGATTAGCAACGGTGGCCATGTCGTAATCAACCACGAGATCTGGTTCTTGCTGTGACGCCGAATCGAGAAACAGAAACCCTAAATCGGAATCTGAATCGAGAGCGAGGGTTTAAGCCCCAAATCGAAGGAGTCGAGAAAACCCTAAAAGGAGTGATACAAAAAGAGAGAGAGAGGGAAAGAGAAAGGGAAAGAGAAAAAAA